AGATCACAATACCAAGCTAGCTCGAAATATCAATAAACTCTTGACAGAAGAGATCGAGAAAGCATTCAAAGCTTCTACAGAAAGCTAGAGCAGGAGTGTAATTTGAGCTTGAAGAAGCGTTAAAGGAAGCAATATTTATTGTCAAACCCACAGTTAAAAATTCTGTTACTGCTAATACGCACAGTGTGCTTTTACTTTTTTTGTCTGTGTCCCAGCGACGACGACGACTACTAAACCGGCATACATTATGTCGCATGTGGGTAACGACAAAAAATAGAAATCGCGCGTTAAACCACCTGCATATCTTGATAGCTCTCAGATGACGATACAAATGCAGTCTACACGTCACCTGATGAGCAGACTGCACAAAGTCCATGTCCACGACTCTCTCTGCCTATTACTATGGGATTAAAATTGAAATTTCAAAATGTAATTCGGACGTGAAGCGTTGCCTAGTAAGATACAACCTCTGGTGGTTAATTCCATAAAAATGATAAATGCGTACTAGTATATACAATTACAATGCTTATAATATGACATGACGGTATGCTTGTTTCTCTATAATGATTTTTCTTTAGGCGAAGCTCAGATACAAGCAAATCAAATGGAAACAAGAAGATATTGCTCATATTGCCTCTGTATATACTTTACAATCTTACTTTCTCTATGTCTAGTGACAAAGTTATCGAATCCAGTTAGAAATATCGTTGCCAATTATTTATGATCATTTGATACTGTGAATCAGAAATACCAATTATATTGAAGGTGATGTCACGATGTAGGAGAAATCCGTCATGTAATCAATGTCGTAACAACGAGAGGTTGATATTGATATTAATAATTAAAAGAGGAGGGAATGTCAGTTTTATACCCAAATAATTGGCAGCGTACTTGACGCGCCCTACCCATTTATTGAAATAAAAGGAAATGATTGCTTATTAATCCGCCCTCTCACCGCCATATGGTTTGTTGAATAAAGTTGTGTGTAATTACAATGTAGATTAACTATTGTAGAATATATGCAAATCAGAATGTTAGGACGTGACAATGTACAGCATCGCTTAGACGTGTCAACGTTCTAGTGCGACGACAGTTTATTAGTGGACTTCATGATTCAATAATAATGACTATTAACGTCCTCAATAATTATTTCTGCGGTCTGCATCCTGCTCATTATCATTGATACTCACTTTCGCTAGCATCAGCCAAGATACCATCAGGCAAGTCTTCCTCATTAATAAATTTCGAATCACTAAGCATATTGAGTAATGCAAGGTTGTGTTGAGGATGTTGTCCGAAGACTAAATAATAAGGCGAATGTTTGGTGGCGCTGCAAACCAGCGTATTCATCGTCCGCACGACCAGCGGTAATCCTACATGCCAATCCTGACGCTTATTATCCACAAGCCATATGGAAAGTTTGTTTTTTAATATCGAATTGCCTCTCGTCATTAACCCTTGTGACCTAGGATCTCGCGCATCACCATTGATAATGTGGACTCCAGGCCATAATTGTTTGAATTCATGAAGGATTGCTGCGACAAATTCTTTTTTGTTATTAGATTGTAAGAATTCTGGTGGACCAAACTGCGTGAATATTTTAAACAAAAACCTTGCCACGTCTATGGCCTTATTATCTGTCAACGCTTCCGCCCAGGAAAACCGGGTGAAATGATCTCTGGCGTGGACGATGTATCTGTATTCGCCATCTGGCCGAGTTCTCAGATCAATCACGTCTAATTGGACCCGTTCCATAAACTTATCAGCAATAGTTGGCTTTGGAGTTGACGCAGTTCGTCTATTTGTGCTACGGTAATTAGTTGACATGGACATGGTTGTTCCGTAATATCAATCAATCTTTGATGACACGGAACAAGAATGATTTTTATTTATATAAAACTTTAGGAGTACACAACTAATCCAATATTGGAAAATTTGACACAATCTTTTCCCCTTTTACAAGGCATGGATTGTGTCTTATGATGCCAAAATAGTTAGCAGCTGTAAACAGAACGTGATTCCGAAAAAATAGAGATGGAAAAGAAATTGCAAACTTGTGCTAGAAAAGTGATTATGAAGCTGATCGCCATTTAGCTCGCTGATTAGGGCGTCCGCACAATTTTTTCACTTGCTCAGGAACAGTGGTATGATGTCATGTATACGAGTTTCTTGGAGACATAGGCAATCGAAGATTTTCATGTTTAAAGCACTATTACTATTATGTAAAGTTTTGTATGATGTTCTCGGTCATAGATATGACATTTAACCATACTAATACATTCTTAAAATCATGAGTAAACGTATGACATATGTTTAGCTGATACAGAATAAATGAAATCGCATGTCACTGCAGTAATTTATGTCAGCATATGCCGAAAGCTAAGATTATATATGGCATAGTGAATGATAATTCCAATCGTACGTTTATCCATCTTTACCGTAACAGTATTCTATTATTCCATTGGCTCTTTTGATCAAATCCTATACAGGAAATCTCCAACAGAACTGTGCATTTACGCGTGTAGAGAACTCCATGTGACTAAGCTCACATCTTCTCTTAATAATGCCTAACAAGAGAAGACAGATCTTTTGCGAGTCAAGCTCGATCGCACAGACTTTAAAGAATACACGCTGGGCGAGTAACTCCTCTCTGAAACCGACAGTTCAACACGTCCCACAACTCTTTCTTGCCCAGCGGGCTTTCATGTAATTGGATGATCGATAAAATGTATCACGTTATTTAAACAGTGCATTCGAAGAACCGCAAACCTTTACTTTTTTGGGGTATTGTCCTCCATCAACGACAACACTTTGATGTAGAAGGTATGAGAGAGGTTATATGCGATTATGAACAGTATGGTGCTACCAGTCAATTGATCAGGTTCAGAAAAGATGGAGCGCTTCTCGACGAGTCTCAGCGGACAGCTTTGGAAACCTGGTGCATAGTAATTGACAATCTTACTCGAAGAATATCAAAACTTGATTGGTAAGGCCTTGTGCAGAAAACATTTATAATAAACTAACTGTGAATGCAAAGAAATCTACAAAGACCAGTGTATGTTCTCATCCCAAGCAATGAGGTATACGCATCTACGGCACGTCCAGGAAAAGGGGAAAAAAATTCAGCAAAGTACCAGAACGCTTAACGAAAGACTTCAAACTACCGCATACGGGCATCGATGTGTCGTCACTGCTTGTATAAATCTGATAATGATCCTGAATATGTGGATTCGCCAAATTATCTGCTTCCAATTGAGAAGCTATCCTGAAAATATAAAAAGGTTTCAAACTCGAATCCACATACCATGATGTGTGTGCAGAGCTTGATGAAACGAGGCTAGGCATGTAAACAACTTTATAATTAGCACTGGATGTTAACAACACTATAATGATCAATTTTATTAGAATTGATGCCTTTGAATAAGGAGATTAAGCTGATGGCCGGCATCTTGTACACAAAGCAAAGGAAGATGAATTTCAGGCTATGTTGGTAAATGCTAAACCGTCTTTATCAAACTTTTTGGCTACCTTTATGTTGTTAACCCGCATAATAATAACAGTGATATTATAATTAATGTTAAATCAAAACGAAACTTTAGGGTCTTTGGGTCACCCTTTAATGCCTTTGAAATGCTAATCCTATACCAAAAATTATCCCCCAAAAATTTTATAACTTTCATACTAAAAACAGAAAAATTTTAATCTGTGTAATCCATATTATTCTCCACACAACAACTCTGGCTCCTCCGTCAGCAACTATCTCCTCACTCTGGAATACCTTTACCACAAAGGCATTTGGACACAATACCCCCTCTCATTCAGATATTATAAACACCTTCCTTAACTGATTACTAACACATGCTCCCTACACATAGTAGCAGTAACTAAGGGATAATATTTTCTTGTATAAAAATAAACCGTTAATAATTGAACAAGCTGACAACGAAACATGGTCGACTCGAAACGGCAGATGGAAGAAACGATTTATGTTAATTGAAAAGGTTATGTGTATATAAAGAAAGTGCAGGTGACGTTCCTGCAGAGACGTGAGAACTCCAGCAGGTGACGTTCCCGTAAGAGTATAGTGTATTCATGGAGTATGGGGTGACGTTCCCCGCCCTCGTCCTAGGCATAGGGTGATTTGAAGGAGCTTCGGCGAGTGACGTTCTCGTGATAATACACGGAGTATGGGGTGACGTTCCCCACCTTCCATCGTCCTACGCTATCAATATCTTTATGAAATATATTCTTATGGCATTTCTTATTTTTTTTATTGCAGTTACAAAATGAAAAAGCGAGCAGAAATTTGTGTGAGTGCAAATCGAGAATATGCAAAGCTCACGACTGATTGAGGAGAAACGGGTAAGGTAAGTTAGTTCTTCATTCACAAAGAACTTAACTGATAATACACTTTGTTTCTGTTAATAGGATAGAATCAAACGAAAGGTTGATTTACATTTGGTCGACAGTTTTGATAAGTCTACAATCAGCCAAGGAGACGAGATTATGAAACTTTATGATGACGATATAGATAACCCAAAAAAGATAAAGAGTACAGCCGAAGACTTTCAGTCTGATAGTGATTTTTTTGCGGATTTATCTACCATTGGAAGTGAGGAGTCATCAACTGACGTTCAATATCCCCCCATTGAAGTGAGGAGTCATCGGGTGTACTGGAAATAAGAATCGTTTGGCTACTACATACAAAATCTCTTCGATAGACAATTTCCATATACGAAAGAACTCTACAATACATTTCCCAATCAAATGAGAACATTAGAGAATAAATGGAAAAAAGTAACGTAGTTTCGGATATAATAATAAGTCGCGATTTTTCGTTTTTTAGTTTTTAGGACCATAGTAATAGTGGATTTAATATAAATTAATTTCGTATTGATAGTAATAGAGATAATGCTTATATTACTGTTATAATAATGACAAAGTAAAAGTTCGTAATATAAATTTAAAAAAATGATGAGATTTTAAGCCAAGCTGTGCCATGAATCTTTCCAAAATGTCAATGTTTTCTCAGTCACACCATTTTTAGCTCACATGATCAAATGTCCACTTTGTTTGCTACCTTGTCCATATATAATATAATAATACCCTCAAATTTAGGTTAAAAGCCTGGAAGACATCAAACTTGACTCACAAAATCTAGTGCAGTGGATATAGTAATAGAGTTACCATTCCATATAATACTAAATACTATCATTATGTGTTGCTAGCACATAATAATAATGATGTCAGAAGTAATACTAAAGTAAATACTATCATATTAATATGTTACCAGGAAAGTTTACAGGCCTGTGCACATGGCACACATATTATAATTAACACAATCATAATCATAAATCACTGGACATGTGAACTGGACATAGGACATAAACACTAGCAATACAGATACTTTAGAGCCATTTCATACTCAGTAAACTGGTTTGCACACATTGCTGCTTATGCTAGGGATCTGAAATATAAAACATCAGTTATTATTATAGTGCAAAGGTAAGCCAATTTTCTCTTTGGCCTCCTAGATCACTACAATTAAAGAACTACTAATACTGAACCAGCCCCTGCAGTATAAGAGACCTTCCTGGCAGTCTATTTTATATTTACACCAAGTCTTAGTCTATTTATACAGGATCACAATAAATAGTAGTAGTGGCAGCAGCAACCACAGATTCCCCTAGGACTCAGTACTTATACTTAGGGATGTCATCCTGTCTTATTATTATAAGTATAAGTAGTATATAGAATGTACAGTATAATAATAAATAGATAGAATTATGAAATAAACTTATATTTATATGCTATATTAATATGTATTAGTATTAGTCTTATTAGTATTATTATTATTATATATTATTTATTATTGAGTATTTCAAAAAAGTTTTGCCTAAAATACTGTCACATTCTAACCATTCAAAATGAAAGATAACTTCATTTTACATTCCTGTATTTTTTTTCTGACTGACTGGTTTGATTACATGCTTTGTATTTACAAACAAAGGAGCTTTTTTAGGCTATGTATATGAGAGAAATTGCTTTCCAAATACCAACATAATACAAGACAGTCACTGCAACTAGTACAGTATGCAACATACTTCTCAAAAAAAAACTAGAGATGCTGTGAACTGCATCTTGATAATGCCCTATATATAATGCTTTCACAATGTGCTTCAGCATAATAATAAAGCATTGTCAGCAAATAGTCTCGAATAAGTCTTTCTAAATAACATTATGTTCATTATGGATAAGAAAGTTATTCAGTCCACCGGTCTATAAAGCCAATGTCTAATACTCTAATTTTGGAAGAAAGAAATTTACAGCTTCTACCCCACGTCATAAATATTATAGATTAGCACTATTTCAATACAGAAGGTCTATCAATATAGACGATTCCCACATAAAGATGATCAGCGAAAAGATGTGCTTTGAGTTCACGTTTGGACTCGTAGGCTTTTCCACAATTTTCCCATTCACACATGAAGGCCTCAGCAAACGCATTGTCGACATTTCCATTCGGTTGTAATTGTAAAGATGTTGCATCCGATTCCCCTGTATCTGTTTTATGAGACTTGCTCGCTTGACATGCCCACAAATATCGACGTACATCATCAAAGGCACGATTCTGATCCTGCAGCAGTTGCGTAGTTTGCTTCAGCGAATCAACTTCATCCTGAAGTAAATACTTTTCACATCGCAACTCTTGCATGTCAAGCTCCGCCCGTTTTAGTTTCCTTGTTAATTCTCTTATGTTACTCTCAGCTTTTTCAAGCCTATCGTCTTTCTTCTCGAGTAAATCTTGAAGTTCTTGTATGTTCGACTTCAATCGAATTTCTTCGCTTGCGTTATCCGAAGGAACCGGATTTATTGTCTCGTCAAGCTCGTCCGTGCGCGTATCCGCAGTTGAACCTGAAGGTTCGTCAACCACCGTCTCGGGTGTTTCGTCATCCGAACCAAGCTCGATCACCTTTTTTATGTCCTCAGGCGTATCCATATTAGTACTCTCTGCAATTGGCGTATCCACGTTCTCTATTGGCAGATTTGACTCATCAGCGCCTGAATCTGTAACCATTGACGGACTGGAGTTACTTTCTGGAAAAAATTTCGCAATGCTATTTGAGTCGCACAATACTTCTTCATCATAATCGCCACAAGAAGATGTATCTGTGTCATTACGATTATGCTGGGACGTGTCAGTGGCTATGACGTTCTGAGGCGAACCCGGACGCGGACTTGCCGGATATTCACGAGAATTTGATGAAAGGCGACGCATTCCTAATGGCCGTAAACGCCTGCCCGCGGGCCGCACTTCCTGTTCGCTAGGATAATCCAATGTATTATGTGAGAATTTTTTCCCCCGCTTAGGCGTCTTGTTATTCTCGACGTCAGCTACCTGCGGCATTCTGTCAGTTGACGCCTGTACAAGGGACAGTGGCGGATGCGATGCGCGACTTGCCCGCGTCGATTCCGAAATTCGACCGTTTGCCAGAGGCTTTCTCTTCTTGTAGCGCTCCCAGTCTGTAACTAGTAGTTTTGTGCAATGCTTTGCAGGCTCCTAGATTGCATACAATCTACCTGTTAGCGTCAACCCAACGTGTTAACCGACTGCCTAAACATTATGAAGTCTTATGGTAAAAGACAGGATAACCTAGCGCTTATTTCCTACCCACGTCGGTTTCCATGGTTGCCCTGAGGAGTCCAAACCTTTCCATTTAACTAGGTAAAAAAGTTCAGATCCGATTTTCTTCTCGTCGGCGATCCGCTCAGCTTCGAAGTATTCCTCATGTTTGCGTTTTGTTGAACTCTTAGGCATTCTGTGAAAAACTAAAATAACACTGAAGATAAATTTATTACTCCGTAATCGCTCCCTAACAATCGCGGAATAGACTGTTAAAGGATCCGACAGGGGTCTCTCCAAGAATTCGCCGCAGTTTTGTTTTCCTCTCTCTCGTTAAATCTTTGTTTACCCCCACACAGCGGCCTCCCCATTTTGTCCGCATATCTCGAAATGTGATTGGTTGGTCATGAATATTGATAAGTTTCTATAAAAAGTAATAAACTACAATCGGCACGGCCATATCCGTACGGTACTTAACTAACTCTAATACTAAGTCAATACTAATACTAAAAAATATCGTTTCAACTTGTAAGAACAGGCTGCCGAGTCAAGATTACATCAAATACAGATAATCGAGAGGATAATTTCGCACATAAAAAGTGGCACGTTTCTTGTATTTCATGGCGCAACAGATTATTCTAATGTGAAAATGTCAAATTAATAATTCAGTTGCAAACACAACAATAACTGTTTATTCTTGATAATAGAAATGGCAGATACTGCATAATGAGTTGTAGTGGCACAATATTAATATGTTTATTATTATTATTATGTTTAATGATAGTGCATCCGAGTATCGCATACAAGCAAACATTTAAATATTAAAGATTATGTGTGACGTTGAATCGTTGTTTGACGCGTATTTTGCCTCTTCTCTTATATGGGGCAGACTGCAACAAAACCAGACAAAGTGAACATTTTTATTATGTGACATAAATGAGAGGCTGATTATGATGTGACCATAAAATTGACCAGGGCAACTGATAACGTTTTGAAAAGTAATAACAGTGTTTGTTCATTTAATTTTTCACTTTATCATACCAGAAGGTGAGCCATAACAAGATTAATATAGGGTTATCTCTATATAAAAAACATTAAATCGACCATGGAACCCAAGAATTACGGCACTATCAGAAGCAATTCTAAAAAAGAACAAGGAGAGAAAATTGCACCCTATGTTTTTAAAATCAATGATACCCAAACTCTCCAGGAATATCTAGATCAAAAAAAAATCACTTATGAAATTTATCAAGAGGAAAGGAAAATCATAACTACTAAACGAGCATTAAAATCAACACATAATGAACCAAGAAAAAAACGAAAATTAGAAGAAACGTAAGGGAAATAAATTTAACTAACGTAAAAGCTTCTCGCCAACCTCTCTACTGATCGAACGACCCGTCAACGGAAGTTCGTTCCTTATTGATAAGACTGCTCGTTGGGCGTTGATCATATTTCGCTACTTTGACACAATTGCAATCAAAACGTCAAACATATAAAAAATAATTCAACTTTTTCGATAAATTTTATTTCGATTATTGAATGCGCGCTCTTGAAAAATAAACAATAATCAATGCACCAGAGTGATTGCATGAGAGGAAAATACTCGGACCCAAAGCCATTTGTGAGTATAACATATTCTTTGGTCACTCTGGTGCAAATTTAAATTTCATTATCTTTTTACCATTAATAACATTATCACTATCGTCTATTTCTTTACATTCATCGTCTCCATCTGAGTGGTTTTTTTCTTCGTCGATCCAACGTTGGATTGCCTCAATGGTCTTTTTCCGCGGAGTTGTTCTTCGAAAATAAAAATTTCGTATCGTAGAAGCCGCAACAGCTTTTTCTTTAAGTAATTTATAAATTTCGAACGCCATTTTGTTAA